ATGTTCTTGAAGATGGCGATGTGGAAATTGTGAAAGTCCACACGAAGGATAATCCGGCAGATATGCTCATAAAGGTGGTTCCGAGCAACAAGTTTATTCATTGTCGAAACTTGTTGCACATTCGTGATTGTTGAGACCGTTGGCGGCCATTTGGATGAACTACGTTCGGCTTGATTCCTTGGGCAAGAGGATACGTAGGCAGTCTTTCAGATACAGCCGGTTTGGATTAGTTGATTTTGATGGGGGTGAGATTGTTTGGACTCTCGTTTGGGTTCTCGACTTGTTATGGATTGAGTTCGTACTGGACACAACAAGTTGGGACATTTGGTTGCTTTGGTGTCGGCTCAGTTTTGGGAAAACTTCACCGAGGTGGAGAATTGTGAACGTGGGGTCCACTATGTTCATGAATTGGGGCAGCAAAGCGCACGGGAGGCAAGGACGTGGGGGCCACCTTCATGAAGTTGAAGTTCACGCGCATTTTCTTTTCGCATAGTGCAGGCCCACCCGATTTTAGATTGAAACTATAAATAGCTTTTTGCGTGCCCTAGTTTTGTGTGCCAAGGAGGTTTATGACTTTGGTTTTGCGGCTGGCTGCTTGCAGGTGCGAGGAGATTTGGTTCGGGTGCAGTTGTTTTGCGGCTGGAGTATAAAAGCAGTTGCCATTGTTTTTGTGATTTTGTTTTTTAGCAGCCCCCTTTATTTAGGGTTTGTGCATCCTTTTGTGAGAGATATTTGTGAGGGATTTGAGAGTTTTGTTTGAGGGTTTAGATTGAGTGATTGTAAACTCTAGTTGTATTCTCTCCCTCTATTAGTAGATCTCCCCCCTCCTTGCCCCGTGGACGTAGGCAATTTGCCGAACCACGTTAAAATTGGTTGTACTGCTTTTGTGTGATTTGTAATAGCTTTTAGGGTCCCTCGACGCGCAGTCCTAGAGCTGACGAGAGGAAGAGCTAATATCCTACTTTGATAGGATATAGGCTTCAGATTCTTGTTCCCTTTGAGAAACAAGAATTCTTATTGCGACCTGACTCTCTTGTTGTGCTGCCGAAGTGCTGCCGAAATTTCCGCTGCGCGCAACGGTATTACTATTAGAAGGACTATTGGAAGGACAAATATGTTATGAGAACAATTTAAAAAAACAACAAAGTGGTTTGAGTCTAGTCTACCTACCATTCTCTTTTTCATTAAGGATGTAATTAAAGTTGAGGATGAAAGGAAGCTAATTAAGAGAAAGTGGTAATTAAAACATGCGACTAATGAAATAGGGGGCATGGTGTGTATATATGAAAGTAAAATAGGAGTTCACCTGCTGAAGAGGACTAAAAGTTAAATGTACAAGTAGTAACATAGGACCATGGGGATCTTTAAATTTGGCCTACTTGATTATAGTGGGTGACAAGAGTAGTGGACCACGCCACACTCACATGGCTCTCTCTCCCCCTCTCTTTTCCCCCTCGATCTATTTGTCAGGGAGATCATGAGTACTCCGGTGCCCACAGTAGAAAAAGGGCTCTTGTTTGGATTCTCTTGTTCTCTTTGTACCCGTACCTATATGCTCTCCTCCATCTTTCCTCTGTGGACCACTTTGTCTCTGTAAACAAATCTAGCTAGGGGGTTTTGTTTTGTTTTGTTTTGTTTGTGGAGCGTAAAATTCACACGGAGACTAGCTTCGTATCGCCAAAATTCAAACTTGAACATACGCCTACCAAATCAACAGTTCGGGTACTACTACTGAGAGAGAAAATGTTGTTTATCCTGACGATCCAACGATATACAAACCATGCATATTGAGAGAGAATGATATATTCAAGGGAAATTAATACCAATCCTTGATGGTGCTCCTCTTATGCATGCCCTAGCTAATCTCAACAAATTAAGTATAAAATCATCTAGACAAGGCAAGGGCATGATCATATCTCTCACATGCATGCCTAGTGACTCATTTCTGTATAGGATTAGATATATTTAATTCCTTAACATATCCTTAATTAATTTGGTTCAAGCCACAACACGTAGTTGGCCAAACATCTTCTAATCTTTAAGCAAATGAAGAACTCCCATGCGACATCGATCGATCCCTCGTAGCTTTGTGCATGTAACAAGTGCGGTGAGCTACTATCTTCAATAACTTCACATGTATATCAACAAAGGGGTGTACAGGAGTTAATAGGGAGCTATACCCTTTATTATCAATAAGTATTACTTTGGATTATTACATAATTACTGTTACTTACCACTCTCTAGTAAATAGAAGACTCTTTATTTAATTTCTCAGCACATGCAATTCCCTCTCAATCTACTTCAAATTTTTACAGTACTCCATGGATAGAACTGATCAGAATCAATGGAAATGCTGCTGCTCTGACCAAGCCCAGAACGCCGATTGATCCTCAACGCCGAAAATGTTGCAGAAATTCTCCTCCTGGCCGATGGCTATTCCGTTTTCAGTCTTAGGGCAATGAAGGAATTGGTAGGCTATGGCTTGGTTAGGGTTTGGTGGTGACTTTGAGATGTCCAAGTTGATGTCTGAGCTATTCTCAGTACTCCTGTTGCTTGAAGAGCCTTCTGTCTCTTTGTTGAGGTTGATTATTGGCTCTGTTCCCCCTCTGCCTTTGAGGCTCAATAACTGCATGAAGACTAGCACACTAATTTGGCAATGTTTAAAACAAGTAATTGTTTCTGAAATTAATAAATCGCCAATCAAAATGCTTGTGTTGACTGAAGGAGTATCTTTCTTGAAAGACTCAACATCTCTTAACTGCCCAAAAGTTTGGAAATGTGATATTACTGAAAAGACTACATCCCTGTGAGTTTTTTTTTTTTTTTTTTTTTTTGGTTTTTTTTTTTTTTCTTATTTTTGACATGCTCATTTGATGATTATTACAGGTAGACAAAAACGATATCCATGAAAAATGAGTAGATTAAAAATTCAGTACTGAAGTTAAAAGACCAGGAAGCAGCAGTATAACAATGAGAATCCGATGAGGCTCATATACGTGTTATCTTCTCCAATACGATGCTTCGATTGACAATAATTTAAAAGATAATCAATCCAAAACATGTCCATTTTATGGAGTTCTATGATAAGCAAAAAAAAGGCGCATTTCTCTTTCAGAGAATAGGACGGGATGTAGCCATACCAAAACCATTTCACACCAATCAAGTTGATAAAACTTAAAAAAAAAAAAAATTCAGACAACCAATAAAACTGTAAGTATTATCCTTTGCAGAAATTTCTCCAGTCATAGACCGATAATCCCAATGCATTATCGGATTTAAGAGAATCTATATGCAACCTGAAGCCATTTTTCATAATACAGAACACCCAAATCATCAAACCTGAAGTAGGCAATGAGATTATTCTAAAAAGACTAAAAACGTTGCCAAAGTTGGAAATTCTATGGCTCCAATTCTCAAATTTTAAACAGAAAAATGGAAAAGCAGAAATATGAATATATAATTCCTGATTACACAACAAGAGAAAAATCAGATGTAAATGAAACTAAATCAACAAAATCAAAGAACCCAAAATTCTACGAGTACGTACCTCGGCTTTGAGCTTTTTGTTGTGTTCCTGCAATGCATCATTCTCCTCTTTCACAACCTCAAGCTCCCTTCTAAGCTCATCATAATCCTTCTCAAGCTTCTTTGTCTTCCACCTCGCTCTCCGATTCTGAAACCATATAGCAATCTGCCTCGGCTGCAGCCCCAAAGCACGCGCCAGCTCCATCTTTCTCTCTGGCTCAAGCTTGTTTCCGAGCTCAAAGTTCCTCTCCAGAGTCCTCACCTGCTCTAATTCAATCCCAACTCAATTCATTTCCGTGAAACAGTAATCACTTTCTCTTTATTAATAACAATGTAGCTCACCTGCTCTAAATTCAGCCTCCTCTTCTTCTCTCCAGCTTGAGAACAGTCGTCAGAGAGCTCATCTTCGACGCCCATCTCATCGAAAGAAAGAGGAGATTTCAAAATACCTGCACAAAATTTAAACACCAATATATGATATTTGGATATGGGTCTAGTCCTTAAATCGAATAGATCCAAACCCACCTCTGAAATCTTGTGGCATTGTAGCAATTGGGAGTAAAGGATGGCTCTCCTCCATTTGAGACTGTAATTGGTACATGAAATTTTGAGGGAAGAATGAGGAGGGTATCCCATTGCAAGCCATATTCAGAGGGGGAGTAAGACTTTAGAATAGAATGAACACCCTCTCAATATGTAGTAGTATTCGTAGTATGTTGAGGTCGAAATTTCCTCAGAGATTAATGGATAGATACCGAGATTGTTGTCAGCAATCTGAAAAGGGTTTAAGAATCCAAGATCATGATATAATAATGCAACGACTCCTCATTCTTGTAAGGAGTATAATCCTTTGGAAGTAACATGACCACAATTTTTTAAGATTTTTATTGGATAATAATGCATTATAATCAGGCAATAAAAACTATATGTAACGTTTATTGGGGGTAGGTACAGTTAGCATATGTGAACTTTAACTGATGTGCATTGTTTACATGTTAAAATCCTACAGCTTTGGGATACAAAGGCATCCCCTTAACATTAGTGTACTTGTAATAAAAACACTGGTTTTTTGACATGATCCTCTCAATACATACAACAAATAATGAACAGGTACTTGAAAGAAAAAGTGCATGTTGCCAGAACAAAGGCATTTGTTTTTAGTCAATCAATAACATGGATATTTATGGCTGTGGACTACAGGGATAATTATTGACTGACTTGGGGATCGATTTAGAAATCTACAGTAGTTTAATTGTGCAGCACGCCTCTTTGGTTTTACTCCACGAAACTCTGAAAAGAGAAAACAGGCCAATGGGCTGAAGGCTGCATGCAGGGCCTGCTACCCAAGCCACCACCAGCCATCCTGGATCAAGGCTCTCTCACTTTCCACAATCAAAACAAAGATAAGAAAATTTCCATGTGTAGTAAGCTCGTAACATTCGTCTGAAATTTTCTCATAGCAAGAAGTACATAAGTTGCATTGTTTGATCCCAATAACTGCGAGGACACTGTGTGAAAAAGTGCAAATGATGTCAAGCCTCTGCTGACATTTTATACTTGGGAAAAAACAGAACAAACTTTGATAGTTTTTTCTCATGTCTGCGGCCCAAAAGTCTGCAGTGTTTTACGTACAAACTGAGGAAGTAGATGGCTAATGTTTCACTCCTGTATTTGTTGTTTGTTACAAATAAAATACAAAGAGACAGTCCTTGATATAATTTGTGTGTGAGAGAGAGAGAGATAGATTAATGGGTATCCTTGTCATAGGAGTAGATTTTTCTCATTATCGCCTATGTGACACAATCCCCACCATCCTCATAAAGTAGACACAAATCCCCACCAACTCACACACTCTCTCTCCTACTTTATGACGATAGTGGGGATTGTGCCACATAGGCGTCAAGGAGGAATTCCCCTCCTATGACAAGGATACCCATTAATCTCCCAAATCACATCATTCCCTAATTGTTTTTTGCGATCCGCTCCGTTGAACTTGATCTACACGTTCTTAGACCCAAACACATCAATTTTAGGATGAACCCGTCGTGTTTTAACCATTCGTTGAGCCGTGCAAAAAGTTATATTCATTAGAAACCGTTAAAATTGCGGCTAATGGATGAATGGTCAAAACACGACGGGTTCATCCCAAAATTGATGTGTTTGGGTCTAAGAATATGTAGATCAAGTTTAACAGAATGGATCACAAAAAATAATTAGGGAATGATATGATTTTAGGCCGCGTCCTTAGGTGGGAACCTAGAGTGTCACCTTAGATTCACTTTTCCCATATATATATGGGAAAAGTGAATCTAAGGTGACACCCTAGGCTCTCACCTAAGGACGCGGCCTAAAATCACATCATTTCCTAAATTTTTTTGCGATCCGCTCCGTTAAACTTGATCTACACGTTCTTAAACCCAAACACACCAATTTTGGAGTAAACCCGTCGTGTTTTGACCCTTTATCCACTCGCTGCAATTTTAACGGTTTTGAGTGAATAGAACTTTTTACACGACTCAACGAATGGTCAAAACAAAATGCGTTCATCCCAAAATTAGTGTGTTTGGGTTTAAGAACGTGTAGATCAAGTTCAACGGAGTGGATCGCATAAAAAAATTAGGAAATGATGTGATTCTAGGCTGCGTCCTTAGGTAGGAGCCTAGGGTGTCACCTTAGATTCACTCTTCTATATATATATATATGTGTGTGTGTGTGTGTTTGTAGCCACATATTTATTAATATAAAACACCTTTTAAGTTGATGTCCACCAAAGTTCCTAGCCACACATTTATTAATATAAAACATCTTTTTATATAATACAAAGATTCCTAGGCAATATGAGTGGTTAAAAACTTTGGTGGACACACTATTCCCTATCCACTTAAGTTGACACAAGTTTTCACCTATATATATATATATATATATGCTCGTAACTAATTGCCCATCTAATTAGTGTTATCTAAAGTACATGATAAAGGTTCCCTATATATAATCATGACAGTTTTATTAAAAAACTAATCAAACACAAAATACATACTTCACAAAATACATGATAGGTCCATATAACATCAAACAAACCAACAATTATAACAATAAGTCCACCTTAATCAAAATACATCAATGAGTCCATAGAAGATGAAATAAACTAAGAAATACATTGGGAAGTCCATACAACATGAAATACATCAATAAATGCATATAACATCAACTAACTCATTTGTACTCGTTCTCCTTCTTCATTTGCACTATTTTTCATCTACAATACACCAAAGATATACAGCTTGGTCAAGAGCAATGTATCAAAATAAAGGATATAAAAAATAAATCATGTATGTAGCTAGTACCTTAGCTAAAGAACAACTTGTTATATAATGTCATTTCCCACCACAAAATTCACAAATTGTTTGTTTTTTAATAGCTTTTTCTTATGCTTTCTCTAATCCCGATTTGATCCTGGTAGCTTGTGTCGCCGTCCCTTTGTAGCAATGGGCCCACTTGGATCACGAATATTGATTTGAGTAGCTTGCTCCATAGAGATGGCTATTGATGAGATAGGCATATTGTTAGTAGCATTGCTCTCCTCTCCAACATTAGGAACTTGCTTCTCTCCATTATAGTTTTCAACTTTTTTTGAAAATGAGTCCAAGAAATCATTGAACATATCATAAAATGCACTTGAAATTAATGTATTTTCTAGTGCTCTATCACATCTTGCCCTATGTGCCCAATGATTGATGATAGAGAGTTGATCTTCATTATTTGTATTGATACTTCTAACAACTCCACGATCAATATGTCTAGCCTCAATTGTCCATCTTCTCATAATATATTTTGATGGATCTTTATTACTTGCTTCTTCACCAAAATGTGCAAGCTATGTTTGTAGAAAATACCCTCCATCTCAAATTTACAACAAGTACAAGTTACTGAATTTTCTTCGGATGCATTAAAGACAATAATATGCTTTATTACTTTTTCACTTTCATCCACTCTATCCATCATCCAAACGGTATATGTGCTACATGCATCATTTTTTGACAACTTCTCATGAAGCATAGAGTAACTATCCTCAAATTCTCGTTGAAAAATACGAAACACATTCCATGTATAATATCCTCTAGCAAGCTTTTCAATAAGATGTTTTGTGGTCAACATAGGAATTGAATTTGTAGTCTTGAAATCTTGCTCAAGTTCAGCGACTCGTCGATTTCTTATGGCTAAATCGTATTGCTTAACAAAATCATGCGATTCGGTTTGTGCACTCATATAATTATCAAAATAGGCATTAATTCCCTCATTCTGTTGAGTAGATATCATAACCGCGGTAAAAGTATCTTTGAGATACACAGGAGCCTAATGATCTCGGTGATTAAACAAATTTACTAACCAACTTATTTTATCTAAATCATATTTATCTCGCATTTCTTCCCAACGCTTTTCAAACTTTTCTTTCGTGCTACTCCAATACCACTTTTTGTTCCTTGTAGAAACTTCATCACCATGAATATGTTGCAATGATTGAAGATGTTGTAAGGAACACCTAATATGCCATGAACAAAAGCGACGACAGATTTGAGGGAAATTATGAATTGCACCACACATAGCTTTGTTTTGATCGGTGATGATAGTCAAGTGGGCTATACTCGACATACACTATAGCCATTGGCTAAATACCCAAATAAAGGTCTCATCCGTTTCATCGGCTAGTAGTGCACACCCAAAGAGAATAGATTGCCGATTATGATTAACGCCCGTAAATGGTACAAATGGTAACTTCAAATTGTTTGTTCTATAAGTAACACCAAAGTAAAACCACATCTCAAAGTTGCAAATAAGAAGTCCTCGCTTTACCATCCACCCAAAAATACTTCTCATTGTTCCATTATTTTCTAGATCCAATGCAAAGTAAAATTATGGATCGGAGAGTTTTTTCTCTTGAAAATGTTGAATTATGGAAACACACTCTTGGCCAATATTATTTTTTCGTCCTTTTCTAAGATGAGCTTGGCATTCTTGTTGAGTGAGAGAGTTTCCTTCATTTCCATTAGTAGCATCTACAACTTTACAAATAGTAGAAGGTCATAACCCTCTGCCATCGAGAGTATCAATCAATTTTCTTGTTGAAGGAGCTTGCCGAATTAGCCTGTGTGAACGGTGCTCTCGCACTCGATTCAGAGTAGTTAAAAGATGACCACTATGAAATTTTCGTACCTCTCATTTCTCCGTGCTTCTAATAAGTCCTATGACCATTTTTGCGGTGCATTCATATCTTGTATCGGCCTTGCGAACCACATTTATGCTATCATCTCTTTTATCTTTCAAATATTTGAAGCCTTCTTTGTCACAAACAAAGATCCAAGAAATGATTTCATCTTTGTTTCTTGACCAAGATGTTTTACCTTTTCGAATACCAAACCCCTTACGTTTAGCGTATGAGTTGTAGAATTCGTAAGCTTCTTCATGAGTAGAGAACACCATTCCAACATAGGGATCAACAACATAATTGCGTTCTTCAGTTACATGGCCATCAAGATCATTAACATTCTTCGCATGATCCAATTCTTATAAAAATGGAGAAATAAAAACATGATGAGCAAAGCACAATATATTCTAAAAAACATATATCTTCCAATATAATAATGCATTTTAAAAAATAAATATCATTACCTAAGATGGAAAATTTATCGTGGAGGTATTCTGTTATATCCCAACAATGTTACATTAAACGTTAGGCGCTTCTAGACGTCGAACTTAACGCCCAACGCTTAGTCGTCTAGGCGGGCACTTAAGCGGTTTCTGGGCATTTTTTTTTATTTTTTTAATTGTGATACTTGAAGATAAATATATATATACTCAATCAAAGATGCATAAATACTAAAATACCAACAGTAATAATTAAATTGC